CTTTTTGATTTCTCGTTCTGTGTTTTTTATAGTGTTATAAATGAACAAAATATAAAATAGTGCAAAGTTGCATTTATAAAAAAAATTAATTGGAAATATCCACAATAAAGTTGGGTCGTCAAAAATGTACCAGTTTTTGAACATGAGTACCAAAAACGAAAAAACGAAAAAAAAAGTACCAATTTTGGTACTAAAGTACCATAAGTGGCAACCGTGCCTCTAACTCACACTCACTCTCCCTTGCTCTCTTTCTTTCTCAATTTTTTTCTCTCTCTCTCTTTGTGTTTTTGGATAGGTAATGCAAACATCATGAATCTCTTCTCCAAACCCATCCCTGACGTCTTTTTTAATGAAGTAAAAACTCAAACAACTAAAAAATTAATAAAATAATTGCAAATCCTTGGTAAAAACTATTTGTCTTAACTTTGAAAAGGTTATTTTTCCAACTTTTTAGTGCTGTTATTTGTTTTATTTACCATATTTGGTGTTATTAGCTGACACTTCTTTTATTTTCGCTGTTAGCTGACATTTTTAATTTTTGCATACATGGGTGAAAAGGTTTAGGTAAGATTAGATTAGCAGCGCACGCGATATTATCGTACTGTAGTGATTTTAATATTTCCACTTGAAAACAAATACTGCCTACTGTTATAATTTCAAATTTTGCAAGGGAGAGCCAACCTATGGAAAAATTTTTTTTTTAATTATAACTTTTTGTACTCTGACTATTACATTATTTGATCTCTTATATGACTTTAAGCTAATAATTCTAGTTTCGTAAATTCTACTAGGTTAGTGAATAAAAGACCTTTTAAATATTGAAAACGCTTAATCTATAGTCGTAGCCAAAGACACAGGAAGTGATTAAGTACAGGGGCTTATTACTTAGTTGATGTAAATCCATTCTGTAGAGCAATACATAACATATGCAGTAGGCAATTTTCAATGTATGACTTAAATACTTTAATAAGGCAATACTTAAATATTAAATACTTAAGTAAACGATATTGAGAAGTTTTAACTGTATTAAAATGTCTATATATTAAACAATTAACATAAGTTTGGGTTAACTTTTATTACTTAAAGGTGATTTGAGAAAATTACTCCAATAATCAATTAGTAGTTGATTATTATTGCAACGTGTTATTCGATAAACATATAATAAAAAAAAATTTTGTTACTATAACTAAGGTATTAGCGTTAAATAAATAATAATAAACTTTAAACGTTGAGTTTAAAGTTTAATTATTATTCAATTAAATTTGGATCAAATATCTAATTTAGTATAGTTAGTAATGAAACGTTAAACCAATATATGAACTTTATTAGTCTTAATTATGTATTCTCATATTTAAAGGTTAAACGGATATTAAAAATTGTTTAGTAATTATTAAATATTAAAGCATTTTGTAGTAAATAATAAAGCATTAAATAGTAAATATAAACAATTATTTTATTTAAAAGAATTTACCTTTCTTAAGCAGTTCAAGAACAGCATTTTTATGATTGGTTCTAAGAGCCTAATATTTCTAAGTAAATAATTTAATTTTTATAAAAAATATAAATGCTATTTAAAATTTTATTTTAATTTGTAACAAAATTAAAGAATAGAAAATAATTACAGAGTATTTAAAATTCACTATAGAAAAAATACCATTTTGCAAATTTTATGCAGTCGCAATTATAAATAAAAATAACTGCGATGAGATAAATTTGTGATCAACCCTCAAGGATAAAAGTGTGAAAGAAAGGAGTTCCTTGAAAATTACGTTCGCATAGACATTTAAAGTTACAACATAATATTAAAGGCGACAATATGTATCCGATTTCGAGTCTATAAAAGTCCATAAATGTTGTGCTAACGTAAACTTGAGTGAAGAAAAGTTTCAAAACCACAAATTATATAAACAAACGCACACAGTCACACAAATAGCTGAAGCACTGAGCATTGAGGTTCTCACGTAGGCAGTAACTAGCCATCCAACTAATTTAGCGAAGAGGACACCACTTTACAAGGAAACTCATTATTAAATATAAGTTAAGAATTTTCAAAAAGTAACACAAAAAATAAGCACTAAAATGGGCGGTATTTATTGTTGTCAATTAGCATATTACCATTGCAAGTATAGCAATGTGGCGTCATAATGTTGCCAAGCATTCAGCAACTTGTTGCGTATGCTCAACCTTTTGAGCAACATTAACCAATTTAAAATATCTTGTGTAGAAGGTAAAATTGCAAACGTGATGCAGTTTTCTTACGTTTTTTGAATTTTTTTTTTACTCAACTTTTTTCTATGCATAATTTTTGTCTTAGAAAAAATAAATAACAGAGAAAATTATTTTGTGGCCATGTTGTATTTATTTATGATGACAAAATGTACTTGTCACTCATTGTTACACGCGTTCCTATTCTTCTGTTAGGATTCCTTTTGTATGTGGTTTCCTAATAAAACCTACATACGTGCACTTTTGCAATTTCTGTCATGCATTTCTGTTGGCATGTAATGCTTTTCTTTATTTAATTTTTTTTTTTTTGTTTTATTAGAAAAATATATGAAAGTATATGAATTTGAGTGATTCAATTTTCAAACTCATATATTTCTTCTTTATGCACCTATGTGCTGAATATAAAGATTTGTAAAAATTATTGTAAGATATATTTAGTTTATTAAACATTAGACAAAACAATGCACTGATAAAATCGTACCCCTATAAAAACATTCTTCATTTCTCAAACTGTAATTCAAGGTTGATAACAGGTTTTATTACAGGTCATTATGGTCTGAAATATCACCTTCATAAACTACAATTATCTGCTAATTCGAGGCAGATTATGCCTCGAAGATGAGGAAACTACTATGGATATTCTTTGTGACTGTCGAGCTTTAATAACGCACAGAAGATACTTGTTTTATAAAGCTTTGAAGGGCTATGTGTAATAAATAGTGAAATTGGTACAATAGGACTCTTCTGGCCGTAGTACCAGCTGTTGGGCGTATTCGCATCAAAGCTTTAATAATAATACAAATAAAGAGTTATCCATTCCGTGGCTCCATAAAGAGTTATCCATTCTGTTTTATATGTCAAACACCACTGTGTTCCAACAGTACTGTATGTTTAGTTTAGAGCCACTTTTGTGTATTATTTTAAATACGAGTATAATTTTTGGCTCACATACCTTAATACATAACGAAAAAAACTAGCAGAACATTTACTTTCATATCTCTTCGTTTGGAAAACCGATGAGTGAGATTTCCAATCACCTCTTAATTTCAAAATACACATTACATCACGAAGCAAGACCATGTAAACTGCTACTTTTGTTCCCATATAAAAATGTTGGATATATAATAAGTACTGGTTTTATACCAAAAATGCTGCAACAAACATAAAAATAAATTTTTCCCGCCATATCTTTTACCAATGCGTTCTTAAATGCAAGGGAACTACTGACTTATTGGAGTATGAAAATATGTTTTATGTATTCTGTGTTCCCGGTTACAGACGTGTAAAGGTGAATAAGCTATTAAATGAGGTAGTTAAGATGGGAGCACGTCTCTTACTAGACAATCAAAATGTCATTGACATGCCAATCCTCATAGACTCTAATCTCTGTAGAGTATAAAAAAACAAATAAATAATTATTAACAAGGAAAGATTATTTTGGTCTTGAGTCTTAATTCATTTTTCTTTACTTTAATAATTATCGATATATTTTCATAATAAGAGTAATTAATTAAATAATGGCAAAGAGACTAAAAACTAAACTTTTATAATATATAGCTATAACAAAAGGTGAGTAAAACTTACACTTTGGTTGATTAGTTAGTCAGCTAGCTTGCAAGGTCCTTTAGCTTCAAATGTAATGGAATCAATGGAAAATATTTTGATTGTCTTTTGAAGCGTTTGTAATAGTCCATTTCTTTTAGGAAATATAAAGTCCACCAAATAGCAACAATTTATATATTACAAAAAATGCTGATAATTGTTGCTTCACTGTCTTTCTATAATGAAATTTACTACTATAGTACTAGTGATATCTGAAATCTTAGTGATTTCTTTCTTAATTAGGAGGAGTACTATGTTAATTTGATTTTATAATTTTATTAATTATATAATTTTAATAAGATAATATATGTAATTAAATCTTAATGAGAAACTATAATATTAAATACTATTATAATAGTTATTATTAGTCATAAATATATGTAATTATGTATTTAATTTTATCATAGTTTTAGTGCCTTCTTACATTAAGAGGAGTACTATGTTAATTTCAATTTATAATTTTATTAATTTTATAGTTTTAATAAGTTTATATATGTAATTAAATCTTAATAAAATAATATAATATGAAATACATCTATAATAGTTATTATTAGTTCATTATTCATTTAAGCATATAAAAAATACTTCTAATAAACGTTTTTTCCGTATAAAAATGTAGTTTTTTCGACCATAATCCGCAACATGTTGGTAAGTATGAAATATTCAAAGTTAATCTGCATCATTTACACCAACACATTCACATGTTAGCTTTTCAATATGTTGCTTGATAAACTGTTGCTTCCCACTAGCAGTTCAGCTTATGACGCATCCTTAAACATAACTGCTTAAGCTACAATGTTCTTTTGTTCCTGTTACTGCTGCTGCTCCTACTGTTCACTGTTCACTGTTGCTGTTGCTGTTGCTTTTTTTCATTGCCATTGAAACATTGGTCCATGGCGAAGGATGCTGCATATAAAACACGAAGTTACAACCACGTAGCAAACAGAAGTGTAGTGATCCTAAAACGTGCAGCAAGTGATAAAGAAAATATTTTGTTAATAAAATAAATAAAATAAAAATTATATTCGAAAAAGTTTAAATATATTTGGAATTTATTTTGCTTATGAAATTTATAGATTTGGTTTCTTAACTTAACATTATAAAATGTCTAAATAAAATATGAAAATTCATTGAATTAAAATTAAAATTCTAACTAAATTAAGTTGTTTGAAAAAGGATTTAATAAATTTTAATAATTAAAAGGTGAGTTTAAAGTGTTTGGAAAATTAATATTAAAATACAATAAAAAATTGATAGAATTTTATATTTAAATAAAAAATAATTAGTTTATAAGTATCAGTAAATAAATAAATTATATAGAAATATTTGTAATTAATAGTTAAAATTCAATCTTGCGAAAAAAAATTTTGTTCTTGGTATAATTGAACAAATTAAATATAGTTTTCAGCAATTAAATTGTTTATAAATATATTTTTTATACATTAATTTTTATGTATATGAAACTTGGAAATTACGAATTCTTTTTGTGAAAAATACAATTTAAAAAAATAATATGAAATAGTTCAAAATCTTAAGATAATTATATTAATATATATACATTAAAAAATTATTTTATAATTAACAATAAATAAACTGTTGAGAAAAAGAATAATAATAATTAAAAAAAATATGAATTATGAAATATAATATGATTATAATATATAATTTAATAAAAATTAATAAAAATTTATAATTATCAAATATAATATAATTAGAATCATAATAATAAAATTAATTACTAATAAATCATATATATGTAGTTAGTAGAAAGTGAAAAAAAAATATTCCTATAATACTGATTTCTTATAAGAGACTTTTATTTTAAAAGTGATCCAAGTCCACTTCATTTTAAATTGAAATATTTAAGGGTCTCCATCCTAATAAAATTAAAAATACAGGTGATTGAAAACATAGTAGGGTTTAACTTCTAGTTGGAACTCTTCTATTGTGACATTTATTAATCTAGTTAGCATAAATAACGTTATTTAAGAAATATATATTTAATGAACATAAATGAACCACGCCACTTTCTTTGTTAAAAAATTAGTCGGCGTGACTCCATTTTAATTAAAATCACTTATTTTACGCAATTCTTCCTACCACGCTTTATGCCTATGTGGGTTACTTCAAGAGCTATATGATACATGCTTGATATTGTGAACTTACTTTTTCGATAACACTAACGAACTAACGATATATGCCAACTAACGACAAGTAGTAAACTCAATTGATTAGATGTACAATTGGTTATAAGTTAACGTATACTTGTTATTCGTGATTTCCATGTAAAAAGGTCCAATATTAAAAAGGAATTCTATATCCAACCAATATCGCAATCTATTGCTCATAACGTTCAGTATGTTTGAAAAAATATGAGCCAATAATTTCAGCAGGTCATAAAGCATATCAAATTCAATTGGTGCTGAATATAAATCAGACACGGAAAATAAAGGTGTCAACTTTCACATATAGATATAATATATATTCACAAATAGATATTTAAGAATATATATTTAGAACAGTGGTGTAGCCAAGATTGCGCCAAGGGGCATATAAAATATATATAGATATATATTTTTTAACAATATTTTTGCAATTCATTTGCATTGAAATTTAATATTATTTATTAAATTTTCAATGCGCCACTGATATAAAATGTTATAATAACAAAATAGTTTTTAATTATATGCTATTAAAAATTAATTAGTCATTAACACTTAGTGACATGTGAAGCACCTTTAAAATATTAATAATTGCATATATTTTAAAATATATATATAGTATTAATTTAAATATTTTAATAATAATAGTTGATAACGTGATAGTTGTTTATAGTTCGAATAGGAGAGGTTAAGTTAGGTTAGGGGAAGTAGTGGGAGAAACAAAACATTTTCAATTAGCTAAAAAAGGTGTTTTGATTCCACAATTCATCGTAATAATGGGTAGAATAATGGTCATGACAGGACCAGCTGGAAGCAGTGATAAATGCGAGTGTCATATTTTGCCTATTCTTTATAATTTACATAAATGAATTATTAAATCTTTATTTATTGGTACTTTTTTTGAAAACTTAAAACTTTCTGCAACTGAAAAAATAAATATTTTGTCGCATAAATTACGTTCAATTATAAATTTTCTTCGAAATTTTTAATTAGCCGTCACGAATATAATTGCATTTATATTGTAGTTTACTACACTAATAATTTTAACTTTTTATTTCGTATAAATAGAATAGTTATGACCCTTCGGTAAATACAAATCATCAAATTTTTTTATCTGAATTTGTTATGAAACAATTGTTTATTTATATGAAATAGAATTAATAAATATAATGAAAATAGGAATGAGATAATTATAAAAAGTACAATTATAAATAAATAAGTGACACATTTTACTGCAACAAATATAAACAGTAAATTACAGCGGTGGGAAGACGTAGACTCGATTACCTTGGTAGCGGGATCCTGGTCCCAAATCAAATAGGTAAAATTAAGCCCACTGCAATTATTAGATTTATAAATAGTCTAAAATTGTCCTAGTTGGGCCTATAGGCGCACAATAGATCTTTTAGGTCGGGGTGCACAAATAGCCTATTTAAAAAAAAAAAAATAGTAAATTATTGAAAAAATCCTAACAACCATACTTATACAACTTTATATATAACACTTTTTAATATTTAATGGAATGAGTAATAAAACAATAACCTTATTCAGGAACATAGTCCTCTTCAAGAGTACCACATTCATTTCAATACTTCTGCAACATTTCTCCTAATATTTCTTGTGGAATGATTTAACATCAAAAAACGTTGCTTCAGTTTCTGCAATCGTTTCTTCAATGCAGCTAAATCACTTAATCTCTATTTTTTGTGTAGGTCTCCAATCAGATAATAGTCAGTTGGAACTAAATCCAGAGAATATGGAAAAGCAACTCAAAGTACACATTATTATTTATTGAGACAAAAATAAATTAAGATACGAAAATCTTGATGGAAGAGGGTTTTTTCAGCGTCATTTCTTTAATGTCTTTTTCCAAATACACTAATATGCCACATAATATTGGCTGTTGATTGTTTCTTCTCACTCAAAGTAATTAATGGATAGATTATTGTGCGCATATCAAAATATGAAAACCGAAGTCTTACCAGTGTAAATTTACGTTTCGGTTGTTCTACGATGCTTTCATTGATTGCTATTAATTCTGCTAACTGCCAATTTATCTTTAGAGTCGAGTTGTTGACCTATATGTCATCCATTATTAACATCTTCATGTAAAAATCCTACATGTACATTTACTGTATAGTCGCGGTTCTAAACAGAGCATGGAATTTGTTGTTTGGCGACATTTCGTCCACTGTGACCAAATGTGATACTTTCCATTTGCATTATCGAATATTCGTGTGAAATAAAACTAACACTTAGCTCTGAAACAATATCATTAAGATATCTTCTATTTCCTCAAACCGTAACTATCTTTTAGTAGTTAAATAGAATTATATCGACTTCTTTGATGTTTTCTGGTAAAGTAACTGAATTTAAGCGTGTTTAGCATTATCAGCCCCCAACTGGAGATTTATCAACAAACTTTCCATAAATAATTGATTTCCATAGAGCAGGGTCTTTATAAAACTTTTCAACTCAGTCAGTATTTGTTTCTTTTTAAAAGTAACTTAGTAAACTTAATATCATTGCTTAGTATTCATACTGTTAACTAAACATCAAATTGTAGTAAAATTTTGATGAATACCTTTTGAAGATTATCACTTTCCAAGAAAAATTAATGAAATAATAAAGACATCATTTATATGTTTTCGTTTCCAAACCTTTTTTTAATTTTTTTAATAATTTTTTTAATAATTTTTTTAATAATTTTTTTAATAATTAACCCAAATGACACATAGTACAGTAACTTTTTGGGAATACAATAGTCTTTCGTTAGTTTTTTGTACATTTTCACTGTCCAAAATGCCACAATTTGGGATAACCAAATGTAATTGCTATATAATCATTATTTTTACAGTTAAATTCTATAAAACATTATATGGACCCCACTTGCAAATGAGCTAATATTAGTGAGGTCGAATACAGACATGGATTCATAGCCCTCCGCACAGATACAGTATTCTCTTAGAGACCTATGACTTACAACAAGGTTTTCAATAGAACTCCGCCTAATATCTCCTAGGAAGAACGGCGTCTTTCCTGTGCAGCACGAACTGTTCTATCTTGATATCAAGGTATAGGCAAGTGTTAAACATTTACTAGTCACGCATAAGCATGTCTATTCCTTATATGTGCCCAAACTGCAGCTCTACCCTTCATTATTTCGCCCATTTCCTTTTGTCCCTTTTCGTATACAAAGCATAGTCAAATTGACATTTGGACCTACTTTCCTGAAGTAGTCAGGCTTTTTCAACTGGATCCAGGTTGATCCAGGAAAAGTAACATTCTTCGTAAGATATTTAAAACTAAATTTAGGTGTTCGGTATGCATTTAAAGTTGATTTAAATTAAAATTAAATTTTAATAATGCACAAAAAAATAAAATAGAAGCAGTTGTGAACTAAAGAAATAATATTTTAACACTTTTTAACAATTTTGTTTTTCTCTTAATAACTTTTATTTCAGTTAATAAATGAAATGATTATGCAAAATAATAACATTTTTGTTCATACGCTCAAGGGCCCACACGTACACCACACACGCCTATTTGAGCCCATCAATTATGTAATTTTATTTTATGTTAACACCTTCGTCGTGTTAAAAATTCATTTAAGCCAAATTTTTTCAGATTTGTATACCAAATCTGTTGACTTTGTGCTGCTCACTTTACTTAATATTCATGTTTCGCCATTAAAACCACATTTTTATCAGTTAATTGAGGCTGCGGCATCCTCATAAAAACGCTCGGTTGTGGCTGGATGAAAGCAAATTGCTGGTAATTGCTGTTTACTTGCTGTGTTTATTGCAGTCTTTTTAGTTTTTAATTTGATATTGTTTTTTAATCGCTACTATTTACGGTTTTTCCAATATATAACATCTCAAACATTATTGATTCACATTTAATATAATTACTTAAGAATAAATAATTATATAGCCAGTCATGATAGTAATTTTTTTTTTTTAATAAATTTAAATAATTTTAATAAGAATTTTACTAAAAAAACAATAAACTTGAAGTATCAAAGACAGAATAAATAAATTT